CCTTTTTGTCAGGAAAAGGTCCATTCTGGGTACAATTTGATCTAGGCACAAAAAGGTATCATTGTTAAAGGTCCACTTTTTCAGAAAAAAAAACCTGCCTTTTTGAATTTGCTGGTTATGGGCCTATGGCCTTTAAGCCCGTGGTACCTTCAGAATTTTTGCCATGTCTATCCATGTCATCAAAAAGGTCAATAATACCAGTGTGCATTGGTATTTGGCACATAACAATTAAAAAAACCCTTTCCGCAGGCAAAAACCCAACAGGAGAACATCCATCACTGTAGAAGGAGCTCCCAGCTACCTAGCCAATGTTTTAGCATGTCAGTGCCATAAAATATGCATTATCATTATGCTATCAGGTGGGCAAAAGCCAGAAAGTGCAGTAATGGTTTCTCGGCTCCAGTATGAACATCTCATGCTCTTGACCTTACTGCAGACCTTGAAAACCACTCTGAGCCTCTGTGACATAAGGAGAGACAAAACTGATAACTTGGTTAGCAAGTGCAACCTAGTCTTATTTTATAGCAATCTGATTTTTGCATACCTGTTTTTTTTCCAAAGGTAAGAATACCTTGGGTATTAGTTCAGTAAGTGGGAAGAAATTTACAATTTATGCCAAGAAATACAAAAGTATTCTTGTTTTTATATCCTTAAATCACCCACACTGTGGAATTGAATTTTGACCCCCATTAAATAAAACATTGACTCAAAAATTAAGCTGTCATGTTCATTACAAATCATGTCTAAAAGCAAACCAAAAACCAAAACAAATTCTGACTCTGTTTACAGAGAGTTGTCCATCATTAACCAAATTATTAATTTTGTCTGACCTCAACTTGTTTACCCAACCATTCATGCACTACATACAGCCAAGGCACACAGGGCCTTCATAGCCCCTTTAGAATAGCACATCTTGGTTGTCCCGTGATGTCAGTTAGGCTATTTCCAGTTCAGGTAAAACTAATTCGAGATGCACGTTTACAAAGGACACGTGGAAGACATATGCCAAGCAAGACATTTATGCTATTCATATATCTGAAGTAACAAGTAATGCTTTTCACTGTTGGTATTTTACATGTAACAATACAGTACAAAACAAAGTGCACATCCTTTCAATACTGCTTCATCTACATATTATCAGGTACCTTTCATACATTGTGTATGTATGTATGTGTGTGCAGGGTGAGCATGGTACAAACTGAAATCAAATCAACATAGTTGGCAATCACCAGTACAATATATAAAAACAGCAAACCATTAACATACACATCTTGTTATGCACCTGAACACAACTTTAGCAGGAACAGGTAAAGTTGGAATTATTTAACCTTTAAGTTGCAGGTAAAAATGTAGGTAATACACCACTCAAGGCCAGACAGAGTTTCAAAATCTGTCTGCGTCCTAACTTCTCTGTTATCTCCAAAATGATGTTCACCACTCAACCCACCACAGCCTATAGCCACCTTCAACACATCATATAAGTGGCACACATGATATTTACACATGGAGGAAGTTTCTAGAGAAATAGCAGCTGTTTAGTGGGAAAATCAGTCCTAAGCCTAATGATAAAATTGAGCTGGATGGTTGAGTGGTTGGGTGTGTAGTTTGTAGGGTGGTTGGGTGTAGATTGTAGGATGGTTGAGTGGTTGGGTGTGTAGTTTGTAGGGTGTATGGTTTGTAGTATGGTTGAGTGGTTGGGTGTGTAGTTTGTAGGGTGTATGGTTTGTAGTATGGTTGAGTGGTTGGGTGTGTAGTTTGTAGGGTGGTTGGGTGTATGGTTTGTAGGATGGTTGAGTGGTTGTGTGTAGATTGTAGGATGGTTGAGTGGTTGGGTATATTGTTTGTAGGGTAGTTGAGTGGTTGGGTGTGTAGTATATGGGATGGTTGAGTGGTTGGGTGTGTAGTTTATGGGATGGTTGAGTGGTTGGGTATATTGTTTAAAGGGTGGTTGAACAGGTTGGGTGTGTAGTTTATGGGATGGTTGAGTGGTTGGTATATTGTTTATAGGGTGGTTGGACAGGTTGGGTGTGTAGTTTATGGGATGGTTGAGTGGTTGGTATATTGTTTATAGGGTGGTTGAACAGGTTGGGTGTGTAGTTTATGGGATGGTTGAGTGGTTGGTATATTGTTTAAAGGGTGGTTGAACAGGTTGGGCAGGTGTGTTTTGGGAGTCTGTGGGGTTAGAAGAGCACATGGTTGGAATAATGGAGTCATGCATGGTTTAAGTTCTGTTGCAACTTTTTCCTGGCTCACCCCCTCAAAAATGGTCCATTTTGCCTGGACTATCAAATCATGCATAAACACAATCAACATAAAGGTGCATGCAAAGGAGCAAGATTATGATAGTTATTACTGAGGTGGGTGAGATTGGTAAATGATGACAGTGTGTTAGGTGTGACAATTTGCTGGATGTTACAATGTGTTAGGTGTGACAATGGAACTTGTTCATGATTCTACAGTGAAGATAGAGGGGGAAGAAGGGAACTATTAGAACAATGAAGGAACTGTTAGGACCAAAACATTCAAGTGGTCAACAAGTTAGTACTAACAAAATGCAGGAAGAGGCAAAAATTCAACTTCCATGATTTCACAATTCAACAGTTGTACCTAGCAATTGTTGGCTCTACAACAAGTTTACAAGAACAATATCAAAGTTGTTTATAGTCTTTTCATTAAAAATTATTTTTCTTTCAAAATTGTATCACAGAAATTAAATCTTGTTGTAATTATGACAAGGAATCTTGACCAAGACAGAAATATCAATCATGTAGACAAAGAAAGCTTGAGTTATGCCAAAAAAATTAACCCAAGCTACAATGGTAAAATGCGACATATAATTTTGTACAAACCTGTGGTCACACGTCAGTAATTCTGACAATAAAAATCTAAGGTGTGCTCAGACTGGGATTTGAAACTTGGATCGGTTTAGGTCTCAACTAACCCTACAACCTACCCAACAATAACATCAGTGGGCTAAACAGTCAGCATGTAAACATAAACATAAACTCTGATACAGGTAAGTTAAATTCTCATACACTTTCATTTTAAATCACAGACACTGTTGATACATTGAATTGAAGCCTTAAAGAGAAAGCTTAAAAGTGTTATTTACCAGGAAAATGGATAAACTGAAACATACACCATTAAAAGCAACATTGATCCAAGTCTACACCAAAGTCTGAGCACAACTGAATGGACATCTATAAATAATGGGATGTCTGACCACCAAACTGACCCCCACAAGGAGGACAGCTAAGAGGGTCAAGTACTCACTTGTTCCAAAGTCAAAACATTAGTCTTAGCGTCGGCCAGCGCAATTCTACCCACTGACCTTGACCTCCCGAGTTTGCGATTACATGGAAGCCACTGGAGAGGCAGCAAGTTAAAATTGGAGAAGAGATGTTAGTTGATGGAAAATGTCACACCTAACACACTGGTAGATTTCAAACACAATGTTAGTGTCACCATTTTTAATCTGTAACCTCCAGCATCATATCGCTGTGTCAGATATGTACGTGTCACAGCCAGCACACTTTACATCACCCCTGACACATTTGATTTCACACCCGGCACAATTTATTTCACACCTGACACATTTGATGTCAAGTATATAACAGCCACATAAATTTCAATATAACCCTCATTAGTGTTAATGAATGGTAAGTGCAAGAATTAAATAAAGTTATATATGGAAACAGAGTTGAGTACATTAAATATTTAAATAGAGCATAAGGGGGAAAAGCAGTATTATATTTAGTCTCAATATTAGTCTGAAAGGGTCCAGTGCATACAACTCAGAGATAGAAAGAAAGTGCCTTCCAAGGTTAATATTTAACTTATTCTCCATCTAAAATTAATTTTGCTCCACTTCTCCTCCCCGCCTCCCCTGAGCTCCCCCCTTCTCCAACCCAACCCCTCCTCAACTCCTCCTCCTCCCCTCTCTTCCACCTCTCAGTCTCCACTCCCTTTTTTAACCTCCTCCCCACCCAATCTCTCTCCCTCTCCCCTCCCATCTTCTTCCACCCCCTCCTCCCACTTCCCACCCCCTCCTCACCTCATCATGTGACAAAATGGTAGAGTTAATCTCATGTATAGGCATGGGAGGTCCAATAAATGACTTGTTTGCCCGCATAGGTCCGAGCGACTCCGAGGACTTGGCTTTGACCAGTCCATGACTGCTGCCGACCCTCAGGTGAACCTTACTCTTTAGGAACATGTCATGTTTGACATACAGTTTATTGATGTCCTTGCGCTTGAGCCCTCGGATACCAAATGCAGTCTGAAAAAGATGTAGAAAAACAACTAGATAAGCAGTCTGAGAGTTCCAACCTTCCCTAGGGCAACTTAATTCTAGATTTATTTATAATAAATGAATCACCTTTTAAAATATAATGGATTTTTAGTTGACCCATTCCCGACTTGTCATGAAAAATTGATCAAATTTATCTTAAAATCAAGTAACTTTTCTTTTCTTTCTTTCTTTTCTTTTTTTCTTCTTCTTCTTTTTTTTTTTTGGTGAAAGCCCAAATACATGTTTCCCATCAGCACTTGCTGAAAATTTGAGATGTATGAACTCCATTTTACTTAATGGGCTGCACATATTACGTAAAAGGTATTGTATTTTTAAAGCTAAAGCACGCTCCTAAAGCACTTGTTACAAACCCTGTATATTATCAAGCTGTGTGTACAGACTTTAGCTCCACTTATATTCCATTACATTATACTGAGAAAGACTGAAAATAAGGTGTGGGATTCAGTTTTATTGCAGGTCTTTTTCAATCTCAAAAAAGACATTTTTGACTCCCAAAGTTTTAAATCTGCCAACCGTCTGAAGAATCTCACCCCTGGTTGTATTCTAAATACTACTTACAACAACGATCTTGGGCAGACTGAGATTTGCAAGGTTGGGAGTACTCTTCCATTTTCCTTTATTCCCATCACTCATGTTTATCTGTGTAATGTGTGTATTCCAATTCCACACTAACAACCTTGTGTTAAGTAGTCAACAGTATCTTTTACCGACTAAAAACCTTACGTATGCAAGACATCAGAATCCTAAATATTTTGCTAAAACCACTTTTGGATCTAGTGATAGGAAAGTCACTTCCATTAACTGAAGTGCAACAGCCCTGTTCCTTATCTATGAATTCAGTGATGGCTTCCTTCAGCATACAGTAAAACACATCCTCCAAGCATTATCCACAGAAAGAAATCTTCTACCTCCTGTGAAAGTTCTTCATCTTGCTCCAAGAAATTTTGCTCAGTGGGTTTAAACTGAGACTTTCAACTTCTAAGACTTTTCCAAAAGTTCTTCAAGTTTTTCCTTGGCATCCAAATATGTGTGCCCTCACAAGTCACTAACACATTACCAAAGAAAATAACCCTACAGAGTTCTACCTCTTGTAAAATTTCTCCTTCAAACTGTCTCTAAAACTAACGTCTGGAGTCAGAAATCCTCAAATGTTCTACTTCTTATGTAAGTAACCCTGTACACTTTCGCTGTTGTACAGCTCTAGTTTCCAGGAGCAGAGAAAAGGTCACAAGAAATCCGACTTCTGTGGCATTTGGGCTTAGAAGAAGACGGTACTTCTCAGCTGATGATGTCCAATTACCAGGATTTATGACTCAACATTCATAAATAGCTCACAGATGTTATAGTACAGGCAATAAAAATAATAACAACAACACACTGCTTTTCACCTGGATTTTAGTAACTGTTGTTTTTCCAAAGAGCATGAAAATGAAACTGACTTGACAATAAAATAAAACATTTTTTCTTTTTCATCTCCATTTTGGTTAACCTATATTCAGTTATCTGATCAATAATTACAAATAAAATCCCACTGATACTTTTTCATTCATAATGTCTGTCTAGTTTATATTTGATTTCTGCAGTAAACTTGGCTCTATACTACATTTTATACCTCATGGCTTTATCATTATCCCTCCTAGACCTATATATCTGGCAGCTACACAGGTAATTTACCTTTTTACTCATAAATAAACCTGTACTCCTGTACTACAACCATTACTATCTATGCTCAAGGTCTTTTCCTTCTGATGGTTACAGGATGTGTTTACCTTGAAACCGCTTTCTTTAAGTTTACATAAAATCTCAGTGCTTTATGTCTGTTTATTTTCTGGGAGTGGGGAAACATTTTTCTTTAAAGTGCGATTGAAATGCCCTTTTAAAAGATGTCCTCTAAAATTTGGCCAAGAAAGAGGTGATATCGGATTCAGTTTCCCTGACAGGTCGTCCAATAGTCACTATATCTGTATTTATTCCTTATGAGAGATCTCTATTGTAACATCAAGTGAAAAGTCAAACTTTCTACAATCAAGCACTTCTAAAAGTGAGTTTGAAATGTTAACATCTACATGGAAGTCACTCTTACCTTTAAGAATTTTTCCACTGTAACAATATTTTTAATATCCCTGCAGAACTGACTAATGGCTGCTTGGACAGCAGCACTGGTACTTATTGCACCGTCTCTCGCTGGAAATAGTACAGCATTTGAATTAATTATGTTTATACTTAAGACTTAAATATCTATATATTCTATCAATATCGGTTTATTACACTGTGAAAGAAGACAACCACAGGGCTGGAAGGGATACACTCACGAAATTCTGCCTAGAATACATCTTTTTTCAAATTCCCATAATAGCTGATGGAGTCATTGTATACAAATCACAATTTTGTAAATGTAAACATGTCATACAAATACATCCAGAGGACATTTCTTTATTAAAAACTAAAATGGGGGGTGATGATACAGTTGCCAAATTGTGTGTGTGTGTGAGAGGGAGAGAGAAAGAGAGAGAGAGAGAAAAAGAGAGAGGATTGTAGCCATTGTGTTAGATTTGCCACTGACCTGCATGTTTCTGGAAGAGATGTAACACAGCCAGTGCAGCTCTGTACAACACTTTACGCCCCTCAAACAGATAGCAGTCTATCACACGTAACTGAGAAGGAAAAAATTCCATAAAATTAAAGGTATCATTTACTAAATTTAGTGCCATATCTAATTTTCTTGGGGAAAAAATCTTCTCAAGAAAAACATTTTTGCTTTTACAAATTATTGCTCAACCTGTTCCTGCAATTGGATTTGATGTTTGTACCACAATGTCAACATTTTAATCTCACATAGTTTGTGGGGAACATCTCAACCATCTCACCTAGCACAATGTCAGGGTCTCAACCATCTCACCTAACACAATGTGATATTTACCATGTAAGAAAATGGAAGATCTCTGAGCAACCACCAGAGCCAGCCTTCAAATACTACATCTACCTGCTTTGTATTGCGCTCTATAAAGCTGTGGGCAGATTTCTGGAAAAGAAAAAGCACATAAAAATCAGAAAAAGTATGAGAAAGCTATTAGACTGCTGTTTGCAAACCAATGCACATTTTTTCACATCTGGGTTCGATCACTATGAGTACAAACTTTGCAAACAAGTCTAAATATTTATACAATTTAAACTGTCACCTGAGACAATGGATCTTTAGATGAAGAGATAAAGACAAAAATCTAGGTGATGCACCTCTTATTCCATAGACACATCTAGATCTAGATCTGACTTCACATGTAAGTCATATATTCCCCCTCTTACTTAACCTCTTTTCTTTACTTACTACAAATCTTTTGGTGAGGTCCCTTATTACCAGTCCCGTGGCCTGATACGCCAGCTTGGTCTGCGATATATGCCCCATCTTACTATGCAACAGACCATAGATTGCGTTAAAAGCGTCTTCCTCTGCCATATAGTGCAGACACAGACAAGTGAGCGGGAATAGCGCAGGACTATAGGTGATGTCAGGCTCGGTGTACGCTATGACACATATGATACGCTTGGCACACTGAAGACCCTGCTCATTCAGGAAGTAATGCGTGGTCAGCTCGTGGTCTACGAAGGCAGGGAGCGTGATGTCTAGATGGCGCTCTGAATCAAGAAAGGATCTTCTTCATTACTGTTGTAATGTATTGCTTTCATAAAAATTATGACTTAAAAAGTTATAATATACCCTGCTGGTGGCAAACTGAAACAGGTGAAATAATATATATATATACAGATGGCATTAATAAGGAACAAAATGATAAAATAATCCATAGATGGCACTATAGTGCAAGAGAAGACTGTCCCTGAAGCTGTAACACAATGAGATGATATAGTTTGCAGTAGACATAAAAATAAAGACAAAATGAAGTATATGTCCAGCTTATGAATGGTTCCACATTCTTGGTGACCTGAGCAATGTCCAATCACTTCTTTTAAGACAACCCATATGTCAGGTAACAATCTGGCTGAAAACTGAAAATTTTAGTTAATCAAGTGCATCACCATTATCAAATGGATTTGGTTAAAGTAATTGTAAATACCAACTAAAAACGCCATGTCCATAAATAAGAAATGAAAAACTGCTAATACAGTCAATGCAATCAAGTGGTCAGTTAAAAATTTACTTTTTAATTCAGAGACTACTTCAAACAGAATCAAGATATTGAGTAAAAAGTATTTGATCAGTGTACACTACAATATAATTAAAACTAATGTTATGTATACTGTTTGATATCAGCCAGCTGTAAGTCATATTTTAAATAAAAATCATAGTTTGTAAAAATTTCTAGGTGTATGGAAATTCCAAGCATTGAATTCTATCCCAGAAATCAATAGAATTATCTCATGCTATTAGAAATTGATTAAATCTTTCAGATTTCAAATTAAACATGTATACAAACTCCATTTGCTATGAAGTATTGATTGCGTTACCTCGTGCATTGTTATCAAAACAATCCACACAATCAGGATACAATCCTTACACTGTTGGTTAATGCTAACCTCTCATTCCAAATAATAAGCAAAAGTGCAAAATCAATTTCAAAGATGCA